CCCAAGGCACCCCCTCCCTCCCTCCCTCCCTGCACTCCGCGTCCCTGAGTCCGATCCGTCTCTTCTTGCTGCCCAGAGCAAGAGCTGGAGCAGCGGACGGAGGCGATAGAGCAGCAGCCACGAGCAGCAGAAGAGAGCCGTCCTGACTCCCAGACATCCACGAGCGTAGCGAGCCACAAGCATTGTGACGAGCATGACGGCCCTGTCGCAGATTACCCGCCCGACTTGGCAGCCAGTTGCGCCATGCGCACGGTGACAAGACCCACGTCGTTCCCGAGCAAGACCGCACGGACTTGCACCCCGACGGAGGTCGGCAGCTTGCCCCGGGCATCAACGAGGGAGACGAACTGGGAGCTGAGCACCATGTCTTTGATCCGCACATTCTCATTCAGCGTCACGGCGGAGAGCACCAGCACGAAAGGGTATCTTCTAGTGAGATGAGCAGTAGGACAAGCATCATATCTTCGAGCTGCATCTCGGGAACCAGCGCCGTTACGGAAAGCAGCAGCTTGACCCGGAAATCTACGAGTGTGACGTTCAGTTCGACGGGCAGCGGGTCTCAGAGCAGCACGGGCCGAAAAAATGCCCTTGCGACCAGCAACCCCAGGCCCATTCCTTTCTTACTTGGCGTTCCCCATGGCAGCACGATCACTGCAAGGCGAGTACGTCGGTCTGCAGTCCGAGCGCGAGCAGCGGCTCCGGCTTTGCCAGCACAAGTGCAAGCGAGCAGCGCCTCGCGGTGAGCGCCACCGGCAGGGCAGGCCCCCCACCAGAGCATTTTTTTGTTTGGTCGGCGGGTCGAGAGCGGGCCTCTTCCGGTTAAGAGCTAGGCGGGCCGCGCGAAGCACTAATGGGGAGACAGGGCGCGGGCGGGCGGGGCCTCAGGCGGCCAGAGGGCGTGGGGTGCAGGCGGTGCTGAAGAGCTTGCACAGGAAAAGGTAGGCTCTACCAGCACAAGTGCAAGCGAGCAGCGCCTCGCGGTGAGCGCCACCGGCAGGGCAGGCACCCCACCAGAGCAGCCACAGCCGTCGTTGCTGCTGCCCGCGTGCAGCCCCCATGGACGGCAGGGGCTCCGAGTCGGGCCCTGTGGGTGCGCTGTCTGCCTCGTGGAATGTTCTTCCTGGGGTCTTACCAGGAAGCGGGATACACGAGGAGGAGGAGGAGGAGGAGGAGGAGGAGGAGGAGCTGGAGGATTACCCACGCGGCCAGATGTGCCTCCAGCGCTCGGCCCTTCTCTGGCCGTGCGGGCCTAGCCTCCGCACAGCTGTGTGTATCCAGCGCGCAGCCTCCAGCCTTAAGTCGGGCATGTCCCTCTACAGGGGGAAAGTTGAAAATTTGCACAAAACACCAAAAAGTCTTGGAACGTGTTTCTTGTATGTCTTGATTATTTTTGGATTTGATTTGAATACTTTTGACTTTTCGCCCCCCTGTAGGAGGACATGCCCGACCTAAATCTGGCCGCGTGTGTCTCCAGCTTCCGCGGCGAGCTCGGGATGGAACCCTTCCACATCTGGGTGCCCTCTGCTCCCCCCCCCTCCTCTGCGGCCACCCTGTCTGTCCACTTCCCCTCCCGCACACGCTGGCCACTTCGCGTAGCGGTTGCCCCGGGTCGCCGCTCGTTGGTGCAGTTCTGCCTCGCCGCTGACGTAAGATAAGTGCTCCCAGCTTCCTGGTAGAGCTGCCTGCGCCTGCAGTATTCGCGCGTGCGCAGCTTGGGCTCCCAGCGTGCGACGTGGAGTTGCACGCTGGGTGCTGGCATGTCAGCCTTGTCTGCCCCACGATGGGTAGACGATGGCCTTGCTTGGCACGCTCTGAAGCCTCCGTTCTGAGGCGAGCCCCGCGTCGAAGCTCTGCATGCGATGCGTTTCTTCCGTGATGAGAGCGTGTTGCTCCATGGAATCGTGCTGCCACCACGGTGCCGCAGGCTGCCTTGACAGCTGGAGGACAGGACGCTCAGCGACGGCTTTTGGCCGCCCCCCTCCGCTCCGTCTTCTTCCTTCTCGTCCCCCTTCTCCTGCGAATGAGTGGCACGCTCGCGCACTTGCGTGCACGGCAGGGCTCGCGAGCGCCAAACGGTGTTGTTGGGCAATGCCGTGGACCGAAGTTTCGCTCGGACCTCGCCTCGCAGCCAGAGGCAGAAAACGAAGACAGCGCGAAGGACAACGAAAACATAACGAGAACGAAAAGCATTGTTCAGTTTCGTTGTTTTGCCGATCGGCGAGGGCCCTCGCACCCCCTCCCTCCCCCCCCTCCATGCAGTAGATTTTGGCTGGTTTGGGCGCCTGTTTCGAGTAGGTGGGGTCTCCCCTCATAGGACACACTGTTGCAAACAGTCGCATTCATGGGCGCTGCGCGTGGCACTCCTCGTACTGGCGGCCAGCCGCCCTCGGTTCCGCCCCCCGGGCCCGCCCTGCCTGCCCGCCGCCGCGTGCTGCTGCGCGCGTGGCTCGGCGTGCGGATGCCCGCCCACGCGCGCGCTTCGATGCGTCAAGAGATTTACAGCGACGACGACGCCGACGACGACGACGACGACGACGACGCCGCCGCCGCCGCCGACGCCGACGCCGACGCCGACGCCGACGCCGACGCCGACGCCGACGCCGACGCCGACGCCGACGCCGACGCCGACGCCGACGCCGACGCCGACGCCGACGACGCCGACGACGACGACGACGACGACGACGACGACGACGACGGCGACGACGACGACGACGACGCTGGCGACGACGACGGCGACGACGACGACGGCGACGACGGTGACGACGGCGGCGGCGGAGGTACGGCGAGGAAAAGAAAACGGTTGGAAGCATGATTTCGGATCACCCGAGGGGTACTTGGGCCTTTTGAGGCGTGTGCGGGTGAGTCTGCAGGGCTTGGTCTGGAGGAGGAGGGGCGAGGGTGCGCACGGTGAGTAAGTGAATCAGCCGCCCTTGCTGCCAGCCGTCGTGGATGCCACGCTCGCTGCTGGGCGTGCGAGTGCCCGCTCACGCGCGTTTCGATTATCGAGGTTTCGATGGCTAGCGCTTGCACCCGACAGCGTACAGCCATCAGTCCTCTTGTCCCTCCACGCTTCAGTCTCCCTCCTCTCTCCCGCTTGCTCAGTCTGCGCTGCACAGTCACCTGCGCTGCTCAGTGCCGCGGGTCCCTGCAGGAGCTGGACTCGGATCAGTGGGGCGCGCATGGCATTCCCGATGTTCGTAGGTTTCGTGTTGCATTGCGTGCCGCTTGACGCTGCATAGCGGCCTTTGCGCTTTAGTTCTCTCTTTCTCTCTCTTTCCTCCACTTCCCTCTTTCGTCCTTTTTCGATTTACTTCTGGGCTCTCATGCATGCCCAGCACAAAGTGAAAATGGCAGCACATGTTGGCAATCATGCTGCCCACTCCCCGCTGTTCCTCCTTCTCCCTTGGCACGTCCACTTCGGCTTCACATGCTTAGTGGTGGCGCGATTTAATTTGCGGCGTTGGCTGGTGCGGGAAAGTTGGGGTTGCGTCTTGTGCGCAGAATTTAGCGGGTTCTCTTCACGGGATTGCGCACGCCTTCCTGGAAATGATGGCCGGCCCTTCTTTAGTTCAAGCATGGAAGACAGTCACGACCGCAACAGTGCTTCCAGCATGTTCGCCACGTCGACTCCACCGGCGGCGCTTTACCGCAAAAGTATCGCCGGAAGTTCCTGATTTGAGCGCTGGGCGCCAGCAAACCACACGCGCGCGCGCGTGCCCGCAAAGTGCGGCGAGTCGAGCAAATTGATTCGACAAGCGCTACATGTCCGTCTGAAAGCGATCATGAAAGCAATCCACGCAACGCTAGCCGAAGTGGTTCGCCTCGCCTCCACAGACGAGGGCCTGAGTTTCCCATGGGACAGGCATCCTCCTGTACTACGCTTAAGTCGGGCCTGTCCCTCTACAGGATGTTCAGAAATTATCAAAAAACAAAAAAAAGTCAGGGGACGATGTTTGTAGTAGTTCAAATTGTTTGTATAAATTTTTAGCTATTTTTCATTTTTCCTCCAAAATCCGCCTGTAGGGGGACATGCCCGACCTAACACTACGCCTGGGAGTGCGGCCCACGGACCCAGCCTCGAGTTCAAGTTTGCAGAACAACCCTGGAAAACTCCAAGGGCCGCACCCCGCGCCAGTGTATGAGAGAGCCAGCTCCGGAAGCACGTGACTTTCACACCGCCGCCCTGCTGTTTTCTTCGAGACGGCGGGTCTTGCCGGCTTTCCACCGACAGGCCCACGGCCTTTGGAACAGGGCTTCAGGCCTGCTGGGCTTACACCAGCGGCCACGTCGTCCTCGGAAGGAGCAGCGAGTCGCCTCAATCGCCCGCACCGCCCAGCTGCAAATCCAGAATTCCATGGATGGTCAGGCACAAGATGTCAAAGTGTCCATCGCGACCACAAGCCAGCATCGGACCACTGCTGAAGAGCTGGCTTACCGAAGCCGCTCAGCTCATGCCAATGAACTTGCATAGCATGTTGGCCGCATTGGACATATATGCTTCCGAGTATAAACTGTACGCGGCCTTGCGTGTTTCATGGGGTCGGTCAGCATGTTCAGCGTGTAACTGCGCATGTGTTCAGACATGCATCAGCATGTATAGTATGTATTGGGGACGTCACTGCTTGATGCGACCGACTTGATTGAAAGTTTTAGTCCCGAAATTGCATGGTCGGGCCGGATGCTTCGTTACAAGAGGCACGATCCAGATGACAGTTGCATGGACGGACGAACGAAAGTAGGATGAGTGAAGAACAAGTCGGCCGAAGTTTGTCACATTTCGCCTCCCCTCTTCACATTCCCCTCCGCCTCCTTGCCCATTCCTGTTATTCCCCCGTCCCTCTTTCTCTGCTCCCCCCTCCACCCTTCCCCGTTCCTTCCTTCTTACCCTGCCTTCCCCCTTCTTTTTGTTGTCCTCCCTTTCCCCGTCTGCTCTCTCGCTCTCCCTTCGCATGGCTATCCTCCTCATCCTCTTTCATATCCGCTTGTGGCGCCACCCGGAGGCTGCAGAAAGTCTGGGGAGACTTGCACGCGCAGGCGTTTTCTACGTTGCCGGAAGGTTTGCGGAAGTTGAAGCTCGGTAGGCCACCTAGATGGGCTAATTTACGTTTCGCTGGGCCGTGAGAATGCCGGTAGGTGGTCCCCTTCATGATTTGTTGTGAAGTCCTTACGGCGAATACCGCCGACCGTGAAGACGACGACGAGGACGAGGAGGAGGATGGGGAGGAGGAGCAGGAGGAGGAGGCGGAGGACGCTATGGAGCAGCAGGAGGAGGAGGAGGTGGAGAAGGATGAGGAGGAGGAGCAAGGGCGGGGGGAGGACGGGGGGGAATGAGCAGTAGAAGGACCCCTGGTGTTGGAAGCCCTGGCACTTTGATCTGGAAGGTTCGAGGTTAAGTTCTCGGCGTGAACTGGGAAGCTGGCATTATGTCCTTGGTGCTTCGGGTATAATGAGTACGGCGGGTGGAATGCAGCGCGGGACGCGAGGGTATGGGCACGGACGTGTGTGGGTCCGTGCGGAAGGAAGTTTGAGGGGAGAGTTTCAAGAACCCCAGGATTTCTGCCCTACCATTGCCCCGCTCTCTCCTCATCCCTCCGCCCGTCCTCCTTTGCGTTGCTTGCCTTTCTCTCCGTCTCCCGTCCTAGCTACTTCTTGCATCGTCCTTCTCTGCTCTCGGTGATCTGGGCCTCGCTATTCTGTTCTGAGCAGATATCCGAACCCTCCGCGGGTGCAAAAGGCGGCGACGACGACGACGACGACGACGACGACGTTGACGTGGGTCAGAGTTCTAGGCATGCGTGTCGGGGTCTCTTCGGAGCGCTTTCGGGGGCCTCTGGTGGGGAGTTTGTTGGCATTTTGGGAGACAGCGGCGACGAGCCCAAGGAAATGGAGGCCGCAGGGAAAGGGGACCACAGAGACGACGACGAACGAATCACGGAGACGACGACTCGAACGGACAAGCCTTTCACACACGCCGACAGGGACGGCGAATTTACCCCCCTTCCCTTACAGCAGCACCGTCGAAAAGCCAGCCTTCCGCCAGACGCCACGCGAGCAAGGTGAAATCAGCACAGATCACAGTGTCTGCCGTCGTCTTCCCCCAGGGGAGCGCTTGTCCTGAAGAAGCGACAAATGCGAATTGTAGATTACCATGGAAGCAGCAGCGACGGGGGAAAAGGGCCAGCCGAAGTGGAGGTATCCTCCGTAGCCTAGGATGCGCAGGGAGGGCGGCATTGAGGAGGGAATGGGAGAAGGAAGGAAGGGAGGGCAAGAAGAGGAGAGGAGGACGAGAGGGAAGAGGAGGGAAGAGGAGGGGAGGGAAGGGGGGAGAAGCATGGGAACGGGAAGCGAGGAGGAGAGGGAAGTGCAGGGAATAAGGGAGGAGGGGGGACGCAGGAGGGATGAGCGACGAGAGAAGGAAGGGATCTGCTGGGGAAGAAAGGCAGGGAGCGAGAAAACGCGGGGGGGGGAGAAGAAGAGGGGGGAGAGGGAAGGTCCGAAACCGTCACGGGAGGACCAAGGGGAGAAGGCCCCCATCGCCGCCGAACCCCCCCCCCCAGAACCCCAGCTGGCTCGACGGCAATGGGGACGGCGGCGAGAGGAGGTGGGGGGGGAGGGACGACGGGAAGAGGGAGGAAGGGAGGGAGGGCGAGAAAGGATGGAGTGGGAGGGGGGAAGACGGAGGAGCGAGATTGACTGAAAGTAATTCCTTCCGATGTCCTGACTTGGTGTCGTTTCTTCGGATTCTGCCGTCCCACAGACGTGGCTGCTAGGTAAGCGCCAGTTTCAGAAACAAGGTAAGTGTGATTTCCTCCCTCGCCCAAATTGTCTTGAGCCAAGCGTGTTGAGCCAAAGTGTTACGTATGCTCGCGCATGCTAAACCATGCAATCGCCTTTCCATTCACAGCACGGAGTTGAGTCAACGTTCCGCGGGTGATGAAGAAGCGATACCCTAGCAGCAACACGGGACGGCGAGTGGCGGTAAAGTAACCACTACCAGGAAGGGCGATGGAGGGAGAAAGGAGGAGTGGGGAGGGAGGGAGGAAGGGAGGGAGAATGGAGGAGAGAGGATTGAGAATGAGCAGGGGGCGGAGACGAGACGAGGTTTGGAGGAGGATAGGATAGAAGGGGAGAGCCCAGGGATTCAACCAGACATTTTGTTGCAGTGAAGCCTATAGAGATATGAACAGGGGGCGCTCGAGGTCACCAGCGTATTATCGAAGATTCCGACGACCTCATGCAGATGCCGAAGAAGGAACCATGTTTACATTCTGGCTGAAACATAGAACACTCGCGTGCATTATTGCACTGCGCCTGTGTGTAGGAATGCATATATACAAGTGCTTGCTTTTTCGTGCGCGTGTGTGTGCTTGAACAGGCTGTTGAACGACGCTGGCGTGCTTGCGTGTTGGTGGCATGGTAATCAGTTGCGGAGATTTCTTGTCCTCCAGTCGCGCGCGATTCCCAAGTGCGCGGACTATGGGCCCCCAGGGATGGCCCCATACAGGCGGCTAGGGCGGAGGCACGCGGGCGCCCCCCCCCCGCGGGGCCCAGGCTCGCGCCGGAGAGGGACCCGAGCCTAGGGCGAGTGCCTTTAAGCGGGGGGTTGCCCCAAACGGCCTTGAGCCCCAAAAAAGGTTACGGCCAACACAAACACATTTTTGAGTCGGCGGCGCAGAGGAACCTCAGGCGCGGTCGGAAGGTGGAGGTGCCAATTGCGAGCGAATTTCGTCGAACGCGCCGTGATGAAAGAATCCAGCCACGGCCATGCGTATTGGTGGTGGTGGTGGAGAAAAGAAGGCACTGAAAATCCAAAATGCAGCGGCCAATCGTCCCGCGGAGAGTGGCTCGACGTCAGGAGTTGAAGCGCGAGCAGCAGTCTGGTGCTAATTGGCCAGTGGGGCGGGATTTGAACCAGCAAAGTTGCCAGACCAGCCAAATGGCGGGGGGTAGCGCAGAACGCAATGGCTATGCGAGACGATGGGTAAGGTGCTACCCTCCGAACCAGCAGCGAAAAAAAAGCACACAACAAACGACACAGACACAAACACACACACACACACACACATACACACACACACACACACACACACACACACGCACACACACACACAAACTAACACACACACACACACACACCACACACACACACACACACACACACACACACGCATATACACACACACACACACACACACACACACACACACACACACACACACACGCGCGCGCACACACGCACACGTACACACACACACACACACAACGCACCCTTTGGGGGCGTTGTGGCCACGCGCGGGGCGGCGCGGCGTGGGCAGGAACGCGCGCGGCCAGGCCAGTTCACGCGGCACACACACACACACACACACAACGCACACACACACACACACACACACACACACACACACACACACACACACACACACACACACACGCACACACACACACACACAACGTACACACACACACACACACAACGTACACACACACACACACAGCACACACACACACAACGCGGCCAGGCCAGATCACGCGTCACACACACACAATGCACACACAGGGTTTCACACATAGGCTTCGTCACGCATGTCGCACACAGATGATTCAACACATCGAATTCCACACACAGGGCTCGCCGCTGTCTATCTGGGTGTGGTCCACGCGCCAGTATTGATGCGGGTCACGTGGGAAGTGTGCGCCCATGCCGTCATAATTCTTGTTGCTTCGCGTATCACCACCAGTCCATCCAGAAACGATATCTTTGAGAGCTGGGGCGTAGGTAAGCATGTAATGAAGCAGGGAGAAAAACAATGGCGAGATTAGAGACATCGGGGAGCCAATCGGAGCCATCTTGGGACAACTTTGGAAGCCATTGGGGCCCTGGAGGGCCTCAGGGCGATCTTGGAAGCCATGCCTCACAGAAGAGGGCGGCGTCAACTAGGCCTCCTCGCTGGAAGCCGAAAAAACGCATCTTGGGTAACTCTTGGACGCTCTTGGGCCGTTTTAGGAGCCTCTTGGGCCCCTCTTGCGGTTCTTTTGGGCCATCTTGGGGTCATCGTAAGGCCTCACAAGCCCGTCGGAAGCGAAAAGGCGAGAAGGCAACAATCGTGTATGTTCTTTAGGTTTGGAGGCGATTTGGGCTGTTTTCAGGGTGCCTTGAGGGGCTCCTGGGGCACTTGGAGCCGTCTGAGTCCTGGGGCATCTCGGAGGTACGTCGGAGGCTATCGTGAACCATCTTCGGCACTTGAGCCATCTTCGAGGCCATCTCGAAGCACCCGGGGCCTTCTTGGAAACAGTTTTGGCCTAAAAGTGCCGTTTCACACCTTGCAGGCCCGGGAAGAGGGACCCTCCCCAGATAGGTAAACAAGGGGTTTCGGAAGAATGAAGGAAAGAACCGTCAGACCACTTGTGCCCAAATGTTTGGTGGAAGTTCAAGCGCACATGGGTGCGACGTGTGCGCTTCGGACATGCGAGCATGAGTGTACAATGCATGCGCTTATGCCCGTCTGAGTAGCAGGAGGGTGTGTCATCGTACGGGGCAGAGGGTGAGGGCAAGACAGGGCATGACAAAAAGCTTCGCAAGATCCGCGACACCGTCCTGGCCTGGGAGAGCGAGGCGGGGGTTCGGGCGAGTGAACCGATTGCTGCCCACAAAACTCTGGCCGCTTACGGTCGGAAACTTTTGGTAAGCGTGCCGCGCTGCCGTATGGCTTACTATGCTTCGGCGCGACACGCTGACCATTTTCCAAGGCCCAAACGTCAACGCCCCGACCCTTTCCCAGCCCTCCGCCCCGCGATTTGGAGCGATACGCTATCCGCTCGCAGGGCATACGTACCGTGTCGCCAGGGCCACCGCCGCGACACGCTAGGCAAAAGTTCCCGACCAGAGGACCCCATCAGCCCTTGGGGATGCAAGAGCCTGGGCTGTTCGGGTACAGGGAGGGGGGGCGAGAACGGAGGGTGTGCACTCCAAGGGGTCTGTCGGCTGTCCCTCGTAGAATCGAGCCCAAGCTTTTGGATCCACGTCGACGGTATCGGTGTATTCGCTGGAGCGCAGGGATCATGTGTGTTATCTCTCGCCATGGTAATCGCGGCATGCATTGAGAGATCACGATTGCGAAGGATGTTCGAGGATACCTTTCGTAATTTCTCGCTCCCACGTCCCGCACACCCAAGAGAACACGTCCTTGGGGGCAGTTATTTACAGTCTCTTGGAAACTACATTGCGAACGCTGTCGCTGATGATCCCCATCCAGTTTTTAGTTGTTCAGTCAGAGTCAGTGGCCGGTTGCGCACGGAAGTCACAATCTTGTCATCCATTTGATTATCTTCGATGCTCTCTTCCTCGACTCTTTCCTCAGCGACCCACTCCCCCTTCTTCCTTCCCTCCTCTCCCTTCCTGCTCTCTCACTCCACCTCATCACTCGACCCTCTCTTCCGCCCGACGCTCTCCTTTACAACCCTCTGCCAATCAACCATCCACTCCTCCTTCACTCCTCGCCCTCCCCCTCCTCCTCCTCATCATCATTCCCCTCCTCCTCCTCCTCCTCCTCCTCCTCCTCCTCCTCCTCCTCCTTCTCCTCCTCCTCCTCTGCTTCTGCTTCCTAACGTTAGCGAGGTGGCTACCGTATCCAGCGAACTTCCTCCGCCCACGTGGGCAAGGGTCCTTTCGTGCCGCCCGCTCTTTTGGGCGGGGGGTCCAGGTGACGGGGGGCTCAGAGGAAGGAATGGAACCGAGGAGGGGAGAAGAGGGAGGTGGAGGAGGAGGAGGAGGAGGAGGAGGAGGGATCGCAGAACATCGTAGGGAATCGGGGGGGGCGTGGGAGAAGAGGGGGAGCGGGGGCGTGGGAGAGAAGGGGAGAAGATAGCCAAGAGCCAGGAAGTGGGGGTAGGGAAGGCAGGCGGGACGGGGAGGGCAGCACGGCAAGGGGAGGGCAGGCAAGACGGAGGTGGCGTTGGAGGAGGAGGAGGAGGAGGAGGAGGAGGAGGAGGAGGAGGAGGAGGAGGAGGAGGGGAGGAGAAGGGGGGGGAGGAGGAGGAGGAGGAGGAGGAGGAGGAGGAGGAGGAGGAGGAGGAGGAGGAGGAAGGAGGAGGAGGAGAGAGGAGGAGAAGGAGGAGGAGGAGGAGGAGGAGGAGAGGAGAGGAGGAGGAGGAGGAGGAGGAGGAGGAAAAGGAGGAGGGGAGGAGGAGACGGAGGAGGAGGAGGAGGAGGAGGAGGAGGAAAAGGAGGAGGGGGAGGAGGAGGAGGAGGAGGAGGGGGAGGGAGTGCCAGACTTCGGGCGACTCGGCAGAATCGCGAAGGAGGTGTTACACAATGTTCAGCATCCTCCCGGGGCCGTTTCCGGGACCGGGGAGCGTCAATCAAGAATTTGAAGACGCAAAGTTGGCCCCTGGGGAGTCGAGAGCTCCATTGGCTGGCGACTCGAAAGGGCCAAATCGTCGCAGCCTTAGGGATACTGAAGGAGGTGAAGTTTGGCCCGATTCTCCGCAGGCTCTCGCTCTGGACGCGCAGCTCGGGCCCGAGCCGCCTGGAGGTCCACGGCCACCCGCACACGCTGCACGCCACGGCGACTCGGCAGATTTGTGAACGCTCGCCAGGAAAAGATAGAAACAACTAAAACACAAAAATAAAACAAAAAACAAAAAAACAAAACACAAAAAAACAACAAACCAAAAAAACATAAACAAAAAAAAAAAAACTAAAAACAAAAGTGCCGGCCTCTGCATCATCGTGAGTGCACGAGGTGATGGACAATGACGGCAAAAGGACGATGCGGATCTGTTCCACCAGGCTTTTTTTCATGCTCGGAGCCCGTGGCCAAGTGCAGCTCGTGCCCTAAGAGAACACACAGGCATGCCTCTGGAATTTTGATTCCTTTGCCGAGTCCGGCCCGACGGTGGGGCCGAGCTGCCATTGTTGTATGATCGTGGGTGGTTACCATTAATTGCACATACCATTATATGTCGGTGTCAAGTTCAGGCGATGCTTGTCGTTAGTGGCATCACTGTCGCGTCAGCGAGTCCGACGTGAACGTTTCCAAGCGTACTCCGTCCGTCCAATGATTACGGACATCCCGACCGTTCCGGAGATTGCGAGATGCAACGGTGCATCTAAACAACCACCACACTCAAATGGCAAGGTTTTTTGTCATTGCGTACTTGCGGCAACGGGTCTCTTTGGTAATATGTTCCCATGCTCCCCTAGCTGGGCCATCCCACTCATTGCTGCGCCTCCGGCTCGGATGGCGCTTGGTGTGCCGACGCTCGCGCGTGGGTGTCGGTGGCTGCCGAGCCTTCTGCAGGCCGCTGTCCGTGGGAGGGTCTTGCCCCCCGCGGCGGCACTCCGAGCACAGCGCGCGCCCGTGGCGCTCCCCCTCCCTGTCGGAGTTGAAGGCGCCAGCTCACCGGGCCCTCCGCTGCACGGGCCTCGGCCCCCTTTCACGCGCGCCGCCCCGCGCGCAGGTGTCTGTCCTCCGCCGCCGATGGGCCGCCGCAGTCGCGATCGAATTCGCAGCCACCCCGCAGGCGCAGAGTCCGGCGCCAGGATCGGCCGAGATCCCTGCTCACGGGCGACGTCTGGGGGCACGGGGGACGGCGCGTGCCCCCTCTGCGGCGCCCACCCAGGGCGGGCACGGCACGGATCGAGCGGGCCCCTGGCCAGAGACACCATCCCAGTCCACGCGCGACATTGACATCTGAAGGCGGCAATGATCGATGGTGACCGACAACCGCAGGTCACGCATGGAGGCCGCCAGTTTTGCCGCCCACGCTCCAAGTGTGGTATCTTCCCCGTCTCCACCTCCTCCTCGTCCTCCTCCTCCTCCTCCGTCTCCTCTTCCTCTTCCTCCTCCTCCTCCTCCTCCTCCTCCTCCTCCTCCTCCAACGCCACCTCCTTCTCCGTTTCCTCCTCCTCCTCATCATCATCAGCAGCAGCATCATCATCGCCTCCTCCGCGGCGTTCCTTCCTTATCTTCGGCACTCTTGCGTGCAGTCTGAACTCACGCTTCCAAAGCCGACAGCGCTCTCGGCAGTTGGTATCCCACGCCGTCGACGCCCACATCCTCGGGAATTCGTATACCCTTCGGCCGACTTGCCCACTGGCCCCTCATGCGTCCCTCAAGCGAGCTCCGTGTTGAACTCGGTGGCCTTGCTCATCTCGGGATTTCCTGTGCCTTTGCTGCACATTTCACTGAAAGACGATGTGTCCGCGGTGTACACAACAAAAACGTGCACGACGAGGGGAGAAGGGGCCAGGCAGCAGCAAGACAAACAGCGGAGCGGCAGCGGCGACATGCCGACGTGCACACGTTATCAAGCGGCATCCAGCCACGCTTGCAACGCTCTGGAAATCGGCATGCTCATGCAACGCACGCCCAATGAATTCACACAACTGTGGTGGGTACTGTTTTACTGCCGCCGTCTTGAATTTTCCATCCGGTCCTATACCCATAGCGTGCCGTGTGACCCCGTGGGGTGGTGGCCTCCCCCTCGCTCTGCTTCCAGGATGGGCATGTTGATTGCTAGGAGTCGGCTTGGCTTCTGAGCCCTCGCCCTGCATGTTCGCTGTTCGAGACTTGTATAACATGTGTGCGTGCAGCAAGTCCAGGGTGCAAGAGAGGCCAGGAGTTTGGCTTTAGGAAGCCTCCAGATCAACGGCAGGTGCGACACTTTAGGCTTTTCAGGGTGCTCGGGTATAAACGTTGCTTCGTTGGCAACGGCTGCAACTACAAGCATAAGTTATGTTCGTAAAAGTGCATTGCCTAGGTGCGCCTGCTCACATTTAGTACCTGATCCCTGAGTAAGGCCCCATGGTTCAAGTGACGAGCGAAGTACACGAGGCCGCCACTAGTGGAATCAGTGGCTGCGTGAATCGATAAACAAACGAAAGAATTATCGTGTTGAGCTTGAAACTTCTCGAAGCAGCACCGAATCTCATGCAGGCGCCTCTGACCGAAGAGCAGGAAACTTCTCGAAGCAGCACCGAATGTCATGCAGGCGCCTCTGACCGAAGAGCAGGTAGCACTGGCTAGCCTGGGAGTGAGCTGAGGGGCCACGTCCATCCTGTGCCCTTCCCGCTCCCACTTGCTCCCTTCCCCGCCCCCCCGCTGCTCCTCCCTCTCTGCTGCGGGCGCCCGCAACTCACCCCTCCGTGGGTGCTCGTGCGCCCTCGTCCTTCCTTGCACCCCCGCCTGCTTCTTGCCTCTTCTTCTCTGCCAGCTCAGTTCTGCGCGCGGCGACACCGCTTCTCCAGGCACGTCAGTTGCCCCCCCCCCGTTCCTCCTTGCATGTCGCCGGCCCCCCTCTGCTCCCCCCTTCGCCGCCGCGTGTGGACCATGCGGCAGTCTGGCTCGCGCCCCTTGCAGTGCCGGCCAGCGACCTTGGGGCCTTGCCTTGCTCTGCCGCTTCCCCGGCGGGCTGCGCCATCCGCCTCCGTTCAGGACGCCTCAGCACCTCGTACGTCCTCTCCCGGTCGGTCTGTGCAACGGCAGTGGTGGAGGTCGGCTAGTCGACAAAGGCATTGCTCGTGCCTCCTCCTCCTGCTCATCCGGCCCATCTCGTGCTTTCTTCCTCTCCGATCGCCGCGCGCGCCACCCAAGCGCGCTCCCCCACACCGCGCCGCGTCGGCACGCGGCTGTGGACCGCGGGCGCAGATCGGACGTCCTGCGGACGAGGCTTCGCGCTGCGTGCACTCGATGCGTCGGCTGACCGGCTGACGCAGCCGCTGGGGGTCCCCAAAGGAGCTGCTGCAGCATCGACGCGCGCAGTGTGTGATTAGTGCAGGCTGCAGTGCTGCATGCCGCTTGGGGAGCGATCGGCACCGGTTGTCATCTGTGGCGGTCTCCTTCCAGCTCAGGAAGTTGCTTTTCCTCGTTCCGCGTTCACCGGGGGGGCGCCTGTGGTTACATTCCTCAGGGCACCGCACCAGGTGGACCGCACCTTCTTGCTTCCTGCCTGGCCATCTTGGCACCGAAAATCTGAGCATGCGCAAATCATACGCGAAATGTAATATTTCTGGGCTTTCCACAAGGGCCTGCAAGAAGGCCCGAGATGCCGCCAAGAAAGCCACAGGACACGTCTTGGGAGCCATTTCACGGCATGTTGGACGCGTGGTTGCCCAACCACGGTCCTAAGAGCGCCCAGAAATGCCGGAAGTCGAGTGTCTTGGGTTTTTCAATAGTCGCGCGCGAACATTCTTTTCCAGACCCAAGAAAGTGGAGGACGAGGGGTAATTAACCATTGCCTGGAAAGGGGAAGGATGAAGTTGGAAGAACAAACTCCCTATACCATTCACGCTTTCAACGGTTGTTGGGATTTGCAGGAGGCACGGCGAAGGTTCGCAGGAGCGGAATTCGCTTTAGCAGTTTCCTCACTTCTTCTGGTTTGTCTCATTATTTTACCGCTCTCCACATCCACCGCTCCGGCTTCGTTTTTGTACGATGACACTAACAATTTCCAGCGAGACTGTTGGTTGCTACGGAGTGGTAGCATTGATGAGCGACTTCTTGTGGTTGGAGAGCGAGTGGAGGTAATGCACACGAGATTCCGATGCATTCATCTTGTCGTTTGACCCCGTTGAATTTACAACAAGCAGCACGCATGTACTGCAACAATGCACTGCAACAATATTCCTCGCGCGACAGTGGTTGACCCAATACTCATCGGAAAAACCCGATGGTCCAGTGCATGTTTCGTGGATACAGAATCGGGCACTTCCCAAAATGCACCCGTTGGACATCGTATATATTTAATAGATCTACAAAGGTGATTCGGCACACGTTTGTCTGTTATTCCGAGCAACAAGTTGATCGGAGATGCCAATTCGTGTAAATTCCGATTCGATGCCGACGAACAGGTTAGTTGTTAGATATTGTGTCAGCGCGTTCGACATTAGACACTTGTCTACGTATGTATGTATAGCATGTGCAGATATGGCCGTATATGCGCGTGTAAAATGGAATGCGCATACATTTACATGTTGTGGGGGGAGAAAAAAAGGAAAGAAAGGAGAAAACAAAAAAAAAAAAACACAAAAAAACGCATGAACTTACACATCGAAAACGCCTAGGGCGAGCAGCTGCCGCTCTCTGCCCTCTTGCAAACGCTTATGTGGCCAAATGTTTGGTTGCGCCTTGCCAAGCTATTGGCGAATGCGTGTTCCCGATCCGTTGTGGAAGCCCTCGGGCGAAAAATTGAACGAGCAGGACGAAGAGGAAAAGGAGGAGGAAGGGAACACGAGGTCTGTTAACAGCCTCTTAAGGGCATGCTAACGGTTTCCTGGGGGCCTCTTGCGGGCCTTTGAAACAGTTTTGGGGGGGTGTTTGTGGCCTTGTGGAGATATATGGGTAATTCACCATACCTTTGTAAGATCGCCTAAAAAATGTCATCCGCAATAGATGAATCAGTATTGTAAAACTGCCTACAAAAAGTCTCCTCTTGGAAAGGTTCACAAAGACACATGTGTAATCCACATCCTAGGGATCAGTTCATAAATCGCAAACAAAAAGGGGTTCTTTTGAAAGGGAGCAGGGAAAAGTCTGGGAGGAAGCCGACAAAAACGTAGGACGAAACCCCCACAGTTGTTTCTAA